GGGGAAGGATTGCATGGAGGGAATTGTAACCATGGCAATGAGACGATATATGATAGAATGAATGTAAGGCTGATGTTCTCCCATGTAAACTATCACATAATTCACAATAAAACATTAAAAAAAATATTGTTCTCATTTGTCTAATAATTGAAGAAATATTTACCCATCCCTTTCATCATTATTCAAACTATGGGCAGCACTCCTCTTAAAAGCCATACCAAGCCATACCGCATCAGGTGGCGCTCTTTTGTTTAAACCACCTCAGTAGCACTCACTGCTAATAAGACCATATATCATATCTTGTTTGTAACATAACATCTATTATAATCTATCAATAACATAAATTTCACAACATCTGAACTCATTTTTCTCTCCCACCCTCCCAAAGGGGCTCGTCAAAACCATGTCACTTGGTTCCCCACATTGCTTTTTCTTCCCTCCCCTGTGCATATGAGTATGATAAACTCTATTGTTTCCCTAATCACTCCAATTCATCTAGGCACCTTCCACTACTTCCTTCAGGCACACTTGTCCATGCTGCCTTGACGGCCCATCTCTCATGGCCTCACCCTGCAATGACACTAGATGGTGAGCAACTCAGGGGACTCTTATTTGCTATTTAGTTTCAAGTATGTATATCATCAAAAGAATGTATGGTATTTGTAAGTTAAATAATTTTCATGAAGGTAAAAGTAAATTTATCACCTCAGGTGATAAGAGAAATGATCAACTAGAGTTGCAAGCATTGCACACTTCAAAGATTAAAATAATCAAAAAACTTCTTGAAAGAAGACTAAGTTAAGACTCAGTGGGAATACATGCTCTGACTGGTGACCACATTCTTCACCCATAAGGGAAGTGAGGGAAAAACAGCAATGAAGTGGCGAGCTAAGCCCTACAATGTTCAACAGACTCATGTGAACGCGGGTGGAGACCTGGCTGGCCAGCAGTGTGGCAAGACCTGGGGACTATTGGGCCCAGAGTCAGTGACACAGCCACAGAGGACTAGAATGGAGAGTGATGCATCCAACTGATAAGAAGAGAGAGGATATGCGCAAGAACACCCACACTTGCAAGATAATACCCACTGACCTGGCTTCAATGACTGGATGATCAGAGCTCAACCAGAAGAAGAAGAGGAAAAAAACGTAATCTGATACAATTTGATGAACTTGACCTACACCTATGGAAACAAATCCTTACTGCAAGAATCATTCCCACCCCCTCCACACACAGAGTAGACAGGGATGGGCAACTTGGACATTGGCTACCCAAAATGGGGTGGGGGTGGGGGGCAGGCTACAAAGGCAAGAAGTGACTGGCTTATGAGCTTTCAAGAGGGAACCTAGATCCCTAGGGCGTGGGGGAAGGTAGAATCTCCAGTGAGTAGTAACCAATCTGTCAGGGCTGATTGTGAGGGTTGTATATGTAAAGGTAGACATTTTATAGCAAGGAGGGGAGTGATTAACTTTTCAGTCTAGGAGCAGAGGTCCCTAGGACCATCAATGGAGAAGAGCAGAGAGTGGGACCCTACCCAGAGAAGCAGTGATGCCTGAGATGGAGGCAGAGCCGATGATGGGCGCGTGGGGGTGGGGGTGGGGGCAGGCTTGCAGGGTATACCCTTTGGTTGGTTGATGATGCATGGAGGGGATTGTAAACATGTAATGAAACGATATATGATAGAATGAATGTAAAACTAATGTTTTCCCATGTAAACTATCATATAATTCACAATAAAACATTTATTTAAAAAAAAAAATTCTGGAAAGGAATACTAGACCTAAATGAGATCTAATCTTTTATGTTTCAGTTTTTAACTTGCTATGCTAAAATTGTTGAGATTTCAGCAGGATGCTGATTTTTGCAATAAGTGCCATTGAGTTGGTTCTGACTCACAGCGACCTTATATAAGGTTTCCGAGGATGAGTCTGTGGGTTTGAAACACCAATCTTGTTAGCAGTCCAGTGCTTATTCTGCAGTGCCACACAATGATGATGACAGATCTCTTGAAAAAAATTAATGAAAATAATTCTTCTGTTTAAGAAGAACCACCAAGATGACTAGTAATATTCATGATGTAAATTCTTTCCTGTCTCCAAAATCAAAGCTGTTATTTGGTCATTAAAAGTGTGTGTTTGTACAGACATACTCATAACTGAAACAAGAATTGACAAAATGCTATGTTGTTTTAACAAAGCTATGTTGTCTAAAATGGTTTAAACAAGTAGAGCAGTAGTAGAAATTGACAAAAATGACATTGGGAACAGGGGGAGTGATTACTTGGATTTAGTGAATGATTACACTGGAGACCTAAGAGAGAGACACAGACAAATACTCCAAGGTTTTGGATAATGAAAGAATTTGCAAACATATAAATACATATATTCTAAAATTCTGTAAGTAGCAATGTTAAAAGGGTTATGAGAATGTCACAGTTACCAGCTATGTACAGTGACACAACTTTGACTACAGAATTAATTTATTTGAGTACAGTTCTGTAAGGAATACAGTATAAGCTCCATACCTGACAAGACCATGACTCTCTCGTTCCCATACCACACTACCCTCAAGCATAGGCTTCCAGCCTCGGGTCTTATAAGAGGGAAATTTTCCTGCTCTGCCTGACGCTACCAAAGCAGGAGTGAGAGGTCAACAATACAGTGGGGATTCTCCTATAGGTCATTAGTGTCTAATGCAACATATCTGTTCAGGTGAGATATGTTCATAGTCACATTTTGCTCTCATAAACTTGTTTTAATTTTCTTCAGTTTCAGTCTGAACTTGCATAAAAGCAACTGATGATCTGATTCTCAGTCTGCCCCTGGTTTTGCTTTGGCTGATACTATGGAATATCAATTCTTTGTAATGTTATCCACAGCCTATCATGGTCCAAACAGTCCAAAGCCTTTGTATAGTCAATAAAACACAAGTAAACATCTTTCTAGTACTCTGTACATTCAGTGAAGATCCACTGGATTTTAGCAGTGATATTCCTCATTCCACATCCTCTTCTGAATCTGGCAGCTACCTGTTGTAGTCGTGTTTTTAATTATCTTCAGAAAAAGTCTACTTTTGTGTAATATTAAGGGTCCTGCACAATGATTTCCGCATTCTGTTGATCACTCTCTTTGGAATAAACACATATCAGGATCTCTTTCAATCAGTTGGCCAGGTATGCTATATTCCAAATTTCTTGGTAAAGATGAGTGAGCGCATCTAGTGATGCATTAGTTTGTTGAAAAATTGCCATTTGTATTCGGTCAATTCCTGATGCCTTGTTTTTCACCAAGACCTTCAGTGCAGCTTGGACTTCTTCCTTCAATACTATCTTGATCATATGTTACACGTCTTGAAATGGTTGCACATC